CCCCCCCTTTTTACCTGAATTCGATCCCAGACCGCCCAACTGGCATGCCACAGCGCAGGACTGTTCCGAGACGCTGCAGATGGGTCCGTAAGTTGAAAGCGTGAACGGCGTGCGAAGCGCCAAAGGTGACCGGCAATGCAGTGCGGTAAGAGTCCGCGAGAGCACGGTACCTGCCAGATTGGGTGTCGGCTCCAGCGCGCGAGCCGGGTTTGTTTGGTGGCTCGGCCCGGCCAACACGGCGGTGCTACAGTGCTGCGACGCTCTGAAGATTGGATCTTAGTCACCTACTTACAGTTTTGGTTCTATTGATTTCTCGAGGCGGCTGAGCAGAGGCGAGAAGAGGGACTCTTGCAGGAACGACGCGCTACGACTTAAGCTTTTGGATGGTGCAGCCGACTCTTGGTCTGTGCTGAGCCGCCGTGAGAGCGCGATCTGGAAACCGTCTCGTACGATTTTCAATCCAACTTGGCACGCACGGATTTCCGCGCCGAGAACTGGGAGCAGAGCAGAGTAAATTAGAACGGGGCGGGGCAGAGAGTAACGTTGTTGCCGCGTGGGCAATTACGTTGCAGCGCGTCTGCGGATGGAGCCCAAGCTCTTGAGCTTTCGGTTCGGATGGCGCTGAGTCGCTGCTGCAGGCCTTAGTCACGGCCATCCGCGGCCGATTCGACGTCGGATTCCGGCCGCCAAAAGTGGCCTACAGGTAAGTGTGCACCGAAACCAGCCGGCTGGCATGGCGCGGTGCCACGCCTCGTCCGGTGGCTTTCAGCCTGTGCATTGGCACTCGCCTCTTGCATGCAACTTGGCTTCCGGCTCAGGCCCAGGCTCAGGCTCAAGCACTGACCCTGGGCTCCGACACTGCATCGATTCTCCCGCTCCTTCGCATTCGATTGCCCATCCGCAGCAAAAGCACCCATCCACCCACACCCACTTTCCTACTGCCCCTCTCTTCCCCGCCCACCATCCCTCCTCTCCTGTCCGCACGCCCTTCCAATCGTGCGCCATTTCTTCTTCACCTTCGCTCACGCCACCATCCTTCTGCGACCACTACATCCCGGTCTGCAAATTTCGCAAGCCTGCCGACGCACCGCTCGCCTTCTAGCATCCCGGCGATACCGCTTCGAGACCCGCTCAAATCCGCTCGTTGGTAGTCCGGTCATCTCTGCGCACTCGAGCGCAATCCACCTCACCTCGATCCCGCCTTCATCTGCCTCGCTCACACACGCAACGCGGGGCTGATCGCTTGGGCAAACGCGATCCGAAGCAATCTCTGCTTGTCACTCGCAACAACAACATCCCTCTCTCTCTCTCTCTCTCTCTCTCTCTCTCT